CACTGCATATGGTGGTACTCAAATTACTTACTCTTCCAGTGAGAAGAAAACAGTAGCATGGAAAGCATTGCTTCACAGTACCAACATAGCAGGCCAGGCATCATGGCTTCTTATTGAATCCTTCACCAGTGCACAGTAGCAACTTTGCATACTCGGAAAAAAAGAAAGGTCATTTCAGTAAATTACCAATGCATTAGGAACATAGCACTTAGTCTACGTTGTCTAAAACTCTATTTACCAGCAGTTGACATCGCAAATATGAGGAAAGAAGGAGAGTAGGATTCTGCCAACCGTTGTGTTGTGCCAAGAACAGAGGATTCCTCTATGACTGCACTTGTTGACCAAAGGCAATGAATCCATTGTAAAAATACATACTTTCCCTGTTACTCGTATGAATCTGATGTGCCTTGCTGTGCATAGAAAGGAACTCCCCTGTGGATCATAAAATCAACCAAGAGCCATTAAAACAGAGAAACAACATCACATATGGGATAAAGAAACAACATATATGAAATAAAGAGAAGACATATCCAACAAAGTACCTAGGATTACGGAGAGGGCTTGAGCAATTCCAAAAGTTCCACCGCTGGAGGGACAACATCTTGCTAACTGCTAAGGCCTTCTTATAGCGAAACCTTCGCCGACATCTTCCTGGAAAAGAGACCCTGCAAACCATTTCTGGTAAGAGGGAATAGACCCATCAAACAAAATGAAAAAGTAACTTCACCAGAGAGAAATCAATCACCTAAAGCAAATCTAGGCAACCACCTCTTCTCTGAATCGTCTCAGACCTCTTAAATCCTATATTTGATGGATGAAAGATAATCAACTCTTTCAACTTCAAACCAACCCTTCAGAGTCCGTATGTATATACTGCATATTAGGTAAAACCTTAAATAAGAGAAAAATCAGCCAAATAAGAAAGTGCTTCGAGTTTGGAAAAAATAAAACATTTGGAAGTTTGCGGTAAAAGGAGAGGATTTGAGATCGAAAACAGTGAGACAGTTCAAGCAAGAGAAAATTGATAAAGATTCAACGTGATGAAAGAATAAAAGAAATCTCAATTAGGAAAAACAGAGAAAACGGACCTTGAGAATCTGGGCCTCCTCCGATTCCTCTCTCACCCTCTCAAATTCGCCAGTTGATTGCTCCAACCTCTACTTGTTTTCAGAAAGGAAAAGAGAGCCAAAATCAGAAAAAAACAAAAGTTGGTTTCATAAACCCTTATGAACGAAATAAAACTATGAGAGACAAAGAAGGAACAATCACGTGAAATCAGTATCGAACCTGTCGATCAAGGTCTTCTTCGAATCCTCCCTCCCTCTTTAAATAACTCCAGATGTCTCCAGGTCCACTCCAAAACCCTCAAATCCCTTTCTTGTTCGCTCGTACTATCCTCTCTAGGAAAGCAATGACCGATTTTTTTGGTTTCCTCTATGATCTCAGGTGCCTGCGGGACAAATTCAAAAGTGAGAAGGGGAGAGAGAAATAAATTGATTGTAGTTTTTTGGGAGAAATCATATTGAGATGGGAGCAAAAGAGGTCCAGGAAAGAGAAAATGTAGAAGTGTTGGGTAGAAGAAATAGTGAGATTGAGGAGGTAGGTAGAATATGTGGTGGAGAAAAAGAGTTGTTTTTTCCCCTTCACATCTCCAACTCAAATCGTCTTTCTCCTATCTCCGCTAGGAGAAGTCTCTGACCCAGCATCAAATCACCGAGAAAGCACGGGATGCAGAAAAGCAAGAATTTTTTTATGGTAGAACAGTATTTTTTTTCCCTCTCAGCATCCTCCAACCAGATCAAGCAATCCCCCCAAGAAAAGCAAACCCCCCAAAAATGCTTCACCTTCTTTTCTCTCCAGGTGTCCTCCAATCAAATCAAGCAAACCCATCATTGCTTGATTTGCTTCCAATCCAGGACTGCTTCATGACTTAACCGGGGCCCATACCGTTTCCCTGTGACCAACGCGCGTTTTCTCCCAACGCCAAGCAGGCCACTCAATGCAGTACTCCCCGTCACTTTCTCCATCAACCCATCAGTCCTACCACGAATGACCTCCAACCCTCCAAGGGTCTCTACGACGAACAGAGAGACACAGACCATCACAAACACAGCTCACTGAATCTGCACAGTATTTCGTCAGATGAATAGTAAATTTAGGTCTAAATGAATAGCAAATTGTGTCTAAGTGAACAGTAAAAACAGTCTAGATGTACAGTGCAAGGTGTTTTGAGCTATTATACTTTTAATTACCCATACACGCTCCATCCATACATAGTCAATGCGAGGATTCCATACATATAGAGATGTGTAACGGTTTGGTATATACCATACCACACCGAACCAAAAGACACTTAGATCATACCAAATCAAACCAAATACAATGTAGTTTGCTCATTGTACGAATTTTATACAAAATTTTAAAAAATTGACTAAGTGCTACTTCTTCTTCCCCTCTTTTCACCTCCTCCATGTAACTCTCTTTTTCTTGGCTTTTAGCCTCCCTCTGATGCAAAAAAAAAAAAAAAAAACAAATTGTTGTTCACATGAGTTTAGTCCAATTTGACTTGAACCTTCCCGTCACATTTTTTTTTTTACTTGAACCGCTACATTTACTAGCTCGGGATGGTCGGACAGCCCATCCCAAAATGGTGGAAAGAATATGCGAATGTGAAGGAGCACAGTTTATCACCACCAAAACGACACAGTAACCAACATATGGCGCACGGACATTGAACTTCTTCAACTTCAACCCACTCCACTCTACTCCAATCCGTCATTCATTACAGTCGAGCCATGGCGATCGTTTCTATCCCCTTCTCTCTGCCTCACCTCAATCTCCGCTCAGTCAACCGGTGAGTTATTCTTCTCCATGTTTCTTCCATCTCTCTCACTTCAAAATTCCTGCAATATCCACCATTTCCTGGCATTCACCGACGTTTCCCCCCTTCTGTGGGTCGAGTAAATTGCAGATTCTCTGCTATGGCTTCCGCAAGAGCAAACGGAGTGGCGACGGCGGGAGTGAAGATCTCAGAAGGTGAAGGTAGCTTGCCCAAAGTTGTCCTCACCTCTCCTCACGGCAGGTAAATGCATCGGCTTGGAGGATTACGACTTCGTTTCCTCGTTTCTCTTCTTTCCGCGCAGTTGCCTGGAAACTGGTGGAATTGAATTGAATTGAATGCGAATCCTTTGTTACAGTGAGGCGGAGATTTATCTATATGGAGGATGCTTGACGTCTTGGAAAGTTCCTGGTGGGAAAGATCTTCTTTTTGTTCGCCCTGATGCTGTGTTCAACAAGAAAAAGCCCATCAGGTTTCGCCGACTTGGATATTTTATCTTGCATTTTTCTGCCCCGATCGAATTTCCATTTTCGGTGGCTGAGTAAATCTGTGGCTTTTTTTACAGTGGAGGCCTTCCGCATTGTTTCCCACAGTTTGGACCGGGTGCTATTCAGCAGGTATAGCCATATTTCCTCTTGCATCGGAGTCCTGAATTTGTATGGCATCATCTTTTTTCCACCACTCCCTCTGAATTTCAGTATTTGTGGTGTTCGTTATAGCATGGATTCGCTAGGAACATGGAATGGTCAGTTGTTGATTCTGAGAATGTAGAGGGTGACCCAGTTGTAACACTTGAGCTGAAGGATGAACCTTACAGTAGAGCTATGTGGGACTTTGGTTTCCAAGCCCTATACAAGGTACTGCAAGCAAGCAATCCAGGACCAATGACTCGAACATCGATATTACTATCTATCTATCTATAATCTATATATCTGCAGACTTTGTGTTTGGAAATCAAGTTAGGAATGCTTGTTTAAATGTTTGCAGGTCATTCTTAATGCAAAGAGCATTTCCACAGAACTTAAGATTACAAATACAGACAGCAAGCCATTCTCGTTTACAACTGCTTTGCATACATATTTCAGCGTAAGTACTGCCATTGACTTGTTACCCCAATTGCTTGAGAAAAAGTAGTCTAGACTGTATGTCAAGTGATCAACTACTCCCTTGGTGCAGGCGTCTGTAACCGGAGCATCAGTGAAAGGTTTGAAAGGTTGCAAAACATTGAACAAAGAACCTGATCCTACAAATCCTCTGGAAGGACAAGAGGAGAGGTGAGAAGGACGTAATAATAGTTATGGAGGGAGGTTTAAACTATAAATTCTTTGGATTGTAGTTTTGGAGATTGGATTTCTATATCAAAATGCATGCCAGTCTTAAGACATTAGTAGATGGTTTCGCTTTATTTCACTATTTCTTAAATGTGTTTATTCTATCAGGGATGTGGTCACTTTCCCTGGGTTTGTAGATTGCGTCTATCTTGATGCACCTGCTGAACTTTACCTTGATAATGGCTTGGGCGATGTGATTACTATCAAGAATTCAAAGTACGTCGATCAGCAACTTCCTTTTGACTCCATCTTGCTTTGCTTCAAATTTCCTTCTTTCTGTTGAGATAAAGCTCAAGATATATCCATTACTGCCTTGCAGTTGGACAGATGCTGTTCTATGGAATCCACATCTTCAGATGGAAGCATGTTATAAAGATTTTGTTTGCGTTGAAAATGCTAAGGTATTCAGTGAGTGCCTTCATTTAGTTTGATGGATTATACATCCAGTGGAACATATTGTTAGGATTCCTGCTGAATAGCAAACGGGTCACATAAGATGTCCTGCTTGAGTTCTTCTACCACTTGCAGTTTCCATTTTGGAAATTTCTTGGCAAAGTTACATGGTTGGATTTTGACAGTTGGTTATTTTGTGACCTCTGCAGATCGGGAAGGTAGACCTACAGCCCAGTGAATCATGGATAGCTACGCAGCAGCTCAGTCTCGGTTAAAGTTTCCATTCAAATTGGTCGATGAACAGTTTCACTGCAGGTTCTAGTTTTTTATAAACGTTTTCAGCTGTGTAAACAATAAGAGTAATTAATTTACTCCTTTGTAAAGTTCCATGTATTCATTTTTCACTCAAATGAATTTCTTTCCTCTTTGCCTTGTCCTTACCAATAGTCAGCACAAGAACATCTTCCATCTCTGGAACAGTGGAACCAAATTATGTCCCGCATTACAATCTCCCTATTATAAATCCCGGAAATGAGTTTCATCACATCATGACAATCTTCACAAACATTAAGATTCTTGAAAATCCGAATTCCTGTCCCTGGTTTAGTATGAGTCAACCCAAATGCAACAGCCAGCTTCTCACTGTGCTGATTGATAGCAGTTTCTTTTTCATTGTTTTCAAGATCTAGCAATAGCCCTCTTGTCACAGGTTCATAGCCTTCTTGCCACTGCCGATTAGCTATCTCGTGCCATTTGCTGTAAATTACATCTGCCTCCGGATGGTTTCTATCACCTCCCACAAATCACGAACCATCCTGTTCATGCTGATTGTGTTGCATCCTGGTAATTTCGACACTCCATCTTCTTTTATCTTTTTTCTTGTTTCAGCTGCCAGCTCCCATTCCTTTGCAGCAGCATGGATGTTTGCCAAGTGAATAACTGAATATACCTTCCACTATGATCAGGGTTCATTTCAGTTACGAGTTTCCCTATTTCTTTACCTATCTCTAGATTCCTATGTATCTTGCAGGCTTTTAGCAGTGACCCCCAAATGATTGGATGTGGTTCAACATGCATTCTCTTGATCTTTAGCTTCCATCAACAACCCGGCTCTACCCAGTAGGTCAACCATGCATCCATAGTGCTCAATTGTTGGACTCACGGTATGACCTTATGCTTTCGAACATCGATTATCCCTCCTCCACTTTTCCTGTGCAAGCAGTCAGAATAGCTGTAAATGTGACTTGGTTTGGTTCGACTCCTTCTGTTTTCATTTTGTTAAACCAAGAAGGAGCTTCTCTTCCTTGGACGTGGATAGCAAACCCAAAAATCGTTGCAGTCCTTGTATGAACACTTTTGTTCCGAATCTTCAATCTTCTCAAATGTTTTAAGAGCTTCTTCCATATTGGCATACATGTCTATCAGAGCACATCCTAGAATTTAATCTAACTACATTCCATTCCTGTTGAAATGTGCATGAATCCATCTCCTGGTCCAAGGCTTGAAGCTGAGAGCAAGCAAATAGTGCACTGGTCAGCGCTACAATATCGAGTTTGACTCTGGCTTCAGCCTACATCTTATTAAATACTTTCAAAGCTTCCTTGTCAACCCTCCCTGAACATACCCCGAAACCATTATCGTCCATGAAATTGCATTCTTTATCAGCCTCTCTTTGAATAGCCCAGTTGTTTTCATAATCTCCCCACATTTTTATGCACCCATTAATCATCGTGTTCCAACTTCCAAGTAACGGTGTAGTGTTGGTTTGTTGTCAGGTTGAAGAGATGACATCCATTGTTTACACTACCAGAGCTAGTGTATGCGTGAAGAAGAGCATTTATGGCATGAACTTGGGAGCCAAACCCTAATTCTATGACCTGACCATGAATTTGCATCGTCTCTTCCAAAGCTGACAGATTCGAATGAGCTTTGAGCAAGAAAGGGAAGGTGCTGTGTGGAGCTGACTGAGCCTGCATCTGGCGACTTGGCTGTAGAGAATCAAGGGCACCTCCGGTTCGTTGCTGTTTGCATACAGTCGTCTAATCACTGTGGTTCCACTTGAAAGTGTTCAAGACTAGGCACGTCTCGACACGTGAGAGTGAAATTTCTCCATATGTACATCTATCTAGCAGGGCTTCTACTGCTAGTGGAACATGGCAGGTTGCTATTGTAAACTGTTATCTGGGTGTATGGATGTATTACAGAACGACATTTATACACCAAAAAGTACCCCCAATAGATCCAGCGCCAAATATTTTGACATTCCATTAGACCAAAAAATCCACCATGTTTCAGAACTCTCGTTTTAACAAGGCAAGCAGGCAACAAGCTGCCAACTACAACCAAAAAGACTCCTAGTTCGTTCTCAAGTAGAAAACCTGAGTAGACCAGAATCTACAGAAACACTATCAAACTACCCTGAAGAAGAAGAAAAAGGGGAAAAAACGAAGGCCAGTTGCTCACTCAAGAAGTAAGCAAGGAAATCAGGCACACAAACAAAACCACCATGATTGCCGCAGCTATACCACAGTAAATCCAAGTAGCCCGCTTCTTTTTCTTCATCTGCTTGGCGTAGTAGAGATTACCAGTCCCTCCAGCCACGAACTCGGTGGCCTTGGCCACATTCTCCTCGATGTCATCAATCCTATCCCCCTGAGTCTCCACCAGAACCGCCATATCTAAGAACACCTGATGAAGCTTCGTCAAGCTCCTCTGTATATCCAGCACGGCTTGGTGCCTCTCTTTGCTCTGCAAGTCCTCCTCCGCCTCCTTCTTCTTTCCTTGCGCCGCCGCCGCCAACATCAGCTCGACCCCACCGCTCCCTGAAGCGATCTTCTCCATCGCCTCCTCGCTGGGTTCCTCTCCGGTCGCCACGAAATACTTCCTCCTCAGATCCTTCTTGTAATCGGACAGGATCTTCTCTCTGAGAAAGAGGAACTCGTTCATCGTCTCCCTGAATTTCACCCTCAGACCGTTGGTGACGGAGACCCTTGTTCTGTCGACGGGGGTTCCTTCTCTGTAGGTCTTCCGGTTGGCCGTGTTTGAAGCTTCGAGGGATTCGAGGCTGGCCTTGACGCTCTTGGCCTTCCGGAGGACGGCCACCGTGTCGGATTGGATTCGGTCCCTCAGCCCGCGGAGGACCTTGGCGCTGTGGGAGGACTTGGTTTCTTCGTTTAGGGCTTCGAGGTCGGACAAGAGATCGGTGATCTCTTCCATCTCGGACTTGATTGAGTCGGCTCGGAGGAAGAACTCGACGAGGTTGGGCTCGTCGCCTGCGGGGGCGAGCTCCTGCGAATTAGCGCCGCCGCCGACGAGCTCGGCTTCCAGGTCCTTACTGGCTTGCTTCTTGAGTTCCACATAACTTAGGAACGATTTCGTGAGGAGATCATTCATGTTTTCGGGTTTCAACTGCAAACACACAGAAACTCTGCAACCTTACTTGCTGAGAAGAAACGAACAGAGAAGAACAGAGTAAGTGTTAGCGGGAAGGGAACGAGCAGAAGAAGCAAGAAATAACACGGAGAGAAGACAAAAGGAGTCTTGATTGCTTTTTTGATTACCCTGTATTATACCAGATTCAAGGTTTGAATCGACTAGCGAGCAAAAGTTTTTTGCTGGCTTTCTGTGAAGTCCCTTCTCCAAGAGACCTGGACAACGCCATAACTAACCACCATTAGAGGAAAAAACTCATCATCAAGAATAATTTGGTGCGGGAACAGAGAAATCGAATGGAGAAACGAAGCAAAGAGGCAAATGGGTATATTTCTTTAAAGATCCCAAGAACGCCGTAGAAACCCAGAAAAACAGAAAGTACCCATGGACATGAAGAACTACTCTACAAGAAGTGAAACTGCCATGGCGAGTACTAGTACTTGAGTCTGAAATTTGGAATTGAGTAAACGAAGAAAGAAAGAGAGAGAGAGAGAGAGATCATGTAAAACCTTGGAGGAGATAATGATTCTTCACTTCTCGTCAAACAAATCGTAAACTTCTGGACTGCAATCCACCACGCCCTTGCTCCCTACCTCTGCAACTCTGCCTCTCTTGGAATTGCAAAAGTGTGAAGCTTTTCGAGTATAAACTGAACGCGGCGAGGAGAGGGAATAAAAGGATTTGACGAGTGAGTGGGTTAAGGATAGAGGGAACTCTTTTTCCAGTTTCGAAATTTCGCTGCGCAGAGAGATAGATCATAGATACAAACAAGTAGCCGTTATATTATAGACGATGGTGAATGGGCGAAGGCGGTGGAGGAAGCAGTTACATAATTTCCGCCAGAATCGCCAAGGAAAAGCTGTTACATAAGTCTCAGAACCCAAACGTTGCCGTTTTATCTCAAACAACCAAAACAACTAAACAAGGACCGATGGATGGAGTGGGGAAGATAACATAATAATCTGCTCAATTTCCTGAAGAGTTTGAATTTCCAAACCAAATGTTGTTAGTAGTTACAACTTCCAACACTTCAATTACTTGAAATAACACTGAATGTGGACCAAAAAGTGTTTACAGTGTTGGGGGAGAGTGGGGGAGACAAAGCTAGAGATCAACAGAGTGTCACAACATCGCTTTGCTCAGCTACGTTGGCCAGAGCAGCACCATCAGTCGCTGTTGTTGCGAACATGGATTAGCATGCAAAGCCCTGAGTTGGGTTCTTCTCTATCTCTATGCTGCTTGTGGTGGTTTAGACTTCTCAGCGTCAAGGCGCCTCAATGTTGAGGAACTCAGCTTTTCACCACTAGATTCTTCAGAAACGAGTTCCACAACCTCAACCTGCACAAGTCTCGGGGTGATGAAGTGGATCATATTGAAATTGACTTCATAAATTGGAAGATATGGAGATCAAAGGGAAACACAATAACCTTTAGCTGCGAAAATCCCCTTTCAGCTCTCTTCCTGTTAACTGCAAGGCCGCCCGGCACTGTCTCTTTGCTGCCACAAAATCAGGACTAATATAAGAACTCATCTCTGAGGTTCCTATCAGAATAACAAACTTATGCATATGCACCCTGGATTTCATCAATGAAGGCTGACATACTGGCCAATCTTTCTACTGATGCAAAGGGAAAATACCCAGAACATGGGTAACAGCTTACCTAACCACTATAGCTTCCAAATCTTCGACAGTAATCGAAGGTCCATATGGATCCACAATCGGTTCGGCTTGCAACACGAGTTCTGGCTTGATGGACTGCATATGATATAGAGGTGAACTGTGTCATGTCCAACAACATTTTGGGTGCTTCAATTGGCCAACAACAGCCTATGCTTTCTTCATAGAACAATTAGAGTTTCAGCTAGACCGTAAACTAAGCTAACTGAATCAGATGTAATCCAAACACACGGTAAAGGACCATGACGTTATCTAGTTTCGGGCACTGGCATAAACTGCGTTCAGCAACTATTCAAGCAACTTAGACGACTCTCGAACATAAGTTTATGTCAAAAAATATTTGAGATTCATTCACTCCACCACCAACATACCTTAATATAGTTCTCCACATTCTGCATCCTTTCCTCCACAGGCTGTATCAAGTCTGCAAACTGAAACCAAAGGAGCCCAACTCCCGAATCATTACAAAGGCTCGTATTAGGGAATTCATAACAGCCAAAATCTATTCCTCATCTAGCAGCTAGATTATAGTGAACTTAACGTATAATGTTGAGATGATAAGAAACATAGATTTTGATGAAGAAGCGAAACCTGTTTGTTGGTAAGCATAGGGCCATCGCAAACTCCAACCACAACCCTCTCCCTAGCAAGCTCTGCTGCTGCCTAGTATTTATCCCAATGACCAAAATCAGGACCCAGTTCAAATTACGCGACAAAATGAAGACGAGAGTAGAGAAAGGGGAAGGTAGACCTTGAGGAAAAGTCGGTGACCGTCGTGCAGGCGATCAAAGGTGCCGCCAAGCACAACCGCTGCATAGGTATTCGGCGGCGAAATCTTGTAGTTAACCGTCTCCTGTTCATCCTGGTCGGCCATTTCTTGGGGGTACAGAAAGCAGAGTTACTAGAGGAAATGAGAAGGAAGGACGATAAGCGTTTTCTCTATATTCAACCCGCGAGCAAATGCTGGTTTTCGCCAACTGTTATTTCTTCCTTCCTCGCCGGCCGCTTAGATTCTTAGGTACAACGAACCTGGACCTGTATGGACCTGAAGTTTCAGGTTGACCCAATATTGCAGTAAATCGGATCGGTCTGAATCAAATTGAGTCAATTGAGTACTTGACTCGAGCCTGAAACGGGATCAACAAAAAATTTGGTTAAAATACTACAAGTGTTTAAACATCATATTGCTTTTCCTTGATTTAGCAAATAAGATTCAAAAACTACGCATAAAATTATCAACTACGATGATTTATCAGAAATATCAATTAAATATATTTTTCATTCTTTCATTTCTATGACATGTAGTTACCAGTTATATCTCTATTGTCACAACTCACGACAATACTGCAACCCTAACAAGTTAACAAGGACAAAATTGTGCAAAACGGGGCCTTAGTTGTTGTGCAACATTCAAGATGTCCTTTTCGTATGTAACCTCGGTTTGAATGGCTGACAAGTGTACGAATAGTGATGAATATAACAGCTGACCGCAGGTCCAAAAGGAAAAGGATAACCAGAAAAAAAAAAAAAAAAAAGGAATCGATGCCTACAAGAATGGCAACGTCCATTCATTGATGAGGTTTCACGTCTGCTGCTGTTGCTGCTGCTACATTCGAAAAGCATACCTTCAAAAACCCATGAACAACCGATAGATACGTTTCTGGGAAGGCCCGAAAATGATCCACATGTGGAGACGATTCAAAGTTATGAGAGACAACCCTTCTTCCCTTTCTCCTTTCCTCCTCGATTGCAGCTTCGATCAACTCATGGGGCACAACAATGTCTCCCGTACTGTACAGGTAAAGCCGAGGATAATTCAATAGCTGGTTGTTTGAGACAGCGGCCATAGTCTTCCTCAACTTCCTGCGACACATTTTTTTACGATTGCAAAATGATTCTGTGGGCTTTCAACTCCAAATGCAAATGTCTGAGCAGCTGAATGAGGATAACAACAATTCAGAAGTGAATACTTACCGGTCGACTTCAGGAAATTTTATTACCACCGAAAAAAGTATCTCTAGTGCTCCTAGCACCAATGTTTCTATGAGATCAGGTGATTGACTGTCCGCAATTCGAGTCTTTTGGCTATTTGTTTCCTCTTCTGAATTTGGAACTGCAGAGCTCCGTTTCTTCAAGAGTGCTGCAGCAAACCCAGCAGCCCACACCTGGTGACAGTAACAATTCAGTCTAGCTTATTGTGATCATGGAAAGGTATCACTTCCATATAGAGAGGCATTTCTGCAAGTTGATGTCAGCAAACTAGATTCACTCGCAGCTCGCTCTCACCATTTAGCCTAAGTAGGTCTCTCCCTGACTGCTTTGAGCTTTAGAAACTCTCAGATTGATTGAAATAAGATACTTCGTTTCATATGGTTGCTCCAAAACAAGCCATGGATGAAGCAATCAATAAAGGAACACTAAGCAAGAGCAAATCCATTCTGCTGCTGGAAACAAAATCATCATGGCACTGACTGTTGCACATCAGCTACTGTCATCCCTAACGCTTGCTGCTGTTACTACTCTAAACATGAAGAGTTCCAAGCCGCCTCTGCTTAGCAGCTTACGACGTTTAACTATCAGCATTACAGTTGAACGACGCAGACCGAAAAACAACTTATGGAACCAGGAAAACAATTAACAGCTACGATTTGGTCCATCAAAACTTCAAACACACTCGCCCTGGCTGGAAAATTATCCAAACGTAAATAAATCGAACGAACCTTATGATCCAACAGCCCAGCACCTCCAGAATCGACCACACAACCTCTGATCTTATTCGTCACACCTTCTCTACTTAGCATAATGTCCATAACGTAACCATACCTGCAAGCAGCCATCACAATTAGCACAACTCCAAGATTGCTCCACAATCACAACCCAGAAAACACCTGTTAATGAATGAAACAAAGGGGCAAACGAATATCAATCAACCTACGTAAAAAAGCCAGTGTTGCTGAAAGTGTGAAACAGCAAGCAACGCTCTCTGCCGTCTTCTTCTCCCTTCTGGGTGACCCAGGAAATGAGCTCATCGGCCAACGCAGCGATCCGCCTCTCCACTCTCTCCCCCAAATCGAAGCCAAGCAGCTCGCCGGCATCAACAACAAAGGTAACCGCGTGAATCCCTAGTGAATTGTACCACTCCACGTACTTCCTTAGGTGCTTCTGCTTCGCTCCCAACCAGCCGAGCAAAACCACCGTCGCTACTGGGTCTTTCGGTCCGACCAATAGACTCCGGCTGCCATTGATGCCGGCATCTGGAGCTAGATGCCATTTGAATAACCCTTCCTTCGCGGTATATTGAGAACCGAAATTGGTATGGGTGAAATTTCCAAATGGGTTCGACGAATTGGAGAGATGAGACGACGAAAGGGAGAGGAAGACGTCGATGGGTCTGGAGTTGGGAGGATTGAATTGCAGAAAAGAAACAGGGGCCGCACGCACAATGGGGTTTAGGCGATAAATTCGAGGATTCAGATGAGATGGTTTGATGAAATTGGTATAGAGCCGGCGATTGAAAACTCTCGCAGTCCCGACTGCAGCTTCCATGGCGGAAGAGAATTTTCAGAGCAGCAAAATAGGAGTCGTTTTCGGAAACTGCCCTCGAATCGATAGTGGACGGCGAAAATAAAGCAATATCATTTATATATGGTGACGTATTCATTACAGTAACGAACCAAATTTAATTGACAAACAAAAACGAACAGAGGCGTTCTCTCTTTTGGGAACTAATCTCGAAGAAGAAGAATACTATTAAGAAAGCTAAACAAAACCCTAATTCAGTCAGAAGACATCGGGGCGGCAATGGCCGGAAATTGAACCGCCGCGGAGCGCTTGACTCAAGTGCACGGACAGGGCGAAATTGTTAGCCTCTAGGGTTTTCAGTTTCTCCTGGTACTCCGCCACCAATTTCTTCAGGGCCTCTGATTCGGCTTCCTTCTCCTTCTTGTCCTTCTGCCGCTCGTAGAGAATCGCCACCGCCCGTTTGAGCAAAGAATTCTCCCTGCTCATGACCTCCGCTCTTCTCTTGCTCTCCTTCCCGGCGGCCTGCGCCACCGCCTTCTCCAGAGCTTCTAACACCTTGCCGGCTCGTGACTTGGCGTCGTCCATGCTCGTCGCTTTCGCCATCTCCTCCACTAGCAGCTCAACCCACTGGGTCGGAGGATCGCTGCTGATTTTCGCCGCGGGGTTGGGTTTTGAGGCAGGTGCTTCTTCCAGGGAGAGACGGCAGAGGCGGTGGATCGCGGCGTCGATGTTGCCGCCGCATTCTTCTAGGGCTAGCTCGAGAACCGCCACCTCCATGTTGGGGAACCTCGCCTGAAGGCGCTCGAGACCTGGGGGAACGAACCGGCGTCTCTTGGTAACCGGCGATGGGTACGGCGATGGGAAATCGCAGTTGTATTCGTCGTCGAACAGATGCAATCGCTTGGTTCCGCAGATTCTTGCGCTGCAGACAGCTGCTGAAGCCATGATTCGTGTCTTTATTAACTCGCGGGAATCGATTTGGGTGTATGAATATATAGGGAGACGGTGGCAGTGTGGATCTCGGGTTTCCTTATTCTACAAGGTAAAGGAAAATATGGCGTCTGTATATAAATAGGTAGATTTCTTGTGGAAGAAGAAGGGGAAACAGCAACCGCCTTTGAGGGAATTCCAGGCTTCCAGCCAAATCTTTTTTGAATTCCTCCATTAGACCATCCCATTGATTTTGTTTTTTATTGTTACTTCATTTTTTTCAATTCAACTCATCTTACTTACATTGCACCACATCAATACAATTAACTTGCAATTACAATTAATTTTTTTTAATTTAATTTATTAAAACATAACCACTCAAATAATAAATTAATGAATAATTTAATAATAAAAAAGATGATGTGGCTTGTATTCCATAATTGCATTATATGCAAGCTTGCAAATATGCAATTGCCATCTACATGACATATGTCATAATGCAATTCTAAATGCAATTCCAATGAAGATGCTCTTAGTCAAATTTATTTAAATGCGGGACAATGACACAAATATTCTGTTTTTTTTTTAATTTGCCACAAATATTGCGGATTAAAAAAAATTGACACAGATATTGTGTTTTGGAGAAAGGAAAGGGCGGGACCACCTGAGACTCCGGCGGGGCCGCTACTTGCAAAAATTTTAACCCAGTCTTGGGCGCTGGCGCCCGAGTCTCCAGCGGCACCGCCCCTCACCCTATTTTTTTTAAATCGACGAGCCCCGCCCATCACCTTATCTCTTCTTCTTCTTCCCACCTCCCCCACACGGCCACACCCCTCCCCCCCCCCCCCCCAACCAGCGCCGCTCCTCGCCACCACCGTCTCAGGCCCGCCCTCTCAAGCGCTGCCGCCCAGGACCAAGGCGCCGCCGCCGCAGACTAAGGCGCTGCCGCCCAGGACCAAGGCGCCGACGCCGCAGAGTTCCGCACCGCCGTTGCCGACCGAGATGTCCTCCGACAAAGAACCCGTCGCTGGCAGAGGCAGGGGGAGAGGCCGGCGAGGTCGTGGTGGAGTCGGCGGCCGTTTGCGCGGTGAGACTCTCGCCAGCGGCATCTTGCTTTTTTTTTTATTAATGTTTAGTGTTTTTTTTAATTAATGTTTTGTTACTTTGTTTTTGCAGTTCCTAGACTTATGGACCCTTATTCGATGAGATTACCGCCGGCGACAATTGATCCAAGTCCAGTCGATCAGGCACTTCTTTGGGGACATGGCCAACATCGTATCGACTCTGTTTGGACAAACGAGGTAAGTATTATTTGTTAATTATTTATGTAAAGTTAATTAGCTAATTAGATTAGATTATTTTAGTTGGTGAACTGAACTGTACTGAAATTAGAATAGGATTACGTATCAAATTTGTTGAAATTAGAGGACTTTTGAGATTAGATTAGATAGATTAGAATTTATTATTAGGTGAAATTAGAAATATTACGAATGAAAATAAATTAATATAAGTTTTGTGCACTATAGGCTGGTGATCGATCTTACCATGTTCGAGGTACGACCATTTTAGTGACGTACCATGAGCTTTATCGGCCATATCTCAAAGCGGCAGACTTGTTAAGTGTCGTGCCCCTAGTCCCTATGAACCCCGATGCGAGTTTGATTACTGCGCTCGTAGAGCGGTGGCGACCCGAGACGTCGACCTTCCATCTACCGTTTGGTGAGATCACGTTAGAGGACGTTGTTACACTGTCCGGTCTGGCGATCGACGGTGATGCCGTCGTAGTTGATATACCGGATGAGGAGTGGTCGGCGATCTGTTTGAGACTGTTAGGACGGGTTCCGGCTGATCTTTCAGGCGGTGCCGGTGTCGTTAGGATTGTGTGGCTGAGGGATGAATTCAATCATTTGCCGGAAAATGCATCACAGGAGGTTATAGAGCAGTTTGCACGAGCTTCTGCTCTATCTTTGATGGGAGGTGTACTTTTCCCGGATCGGTCTGGATCTACGGTGCACCTACAGTACCTACTTCTGATTGAGGATTGGCAGAGAGCTGGACGGTTCGCCTGGGGAGCTGCTGTTTTATCCTACCTGTACCATGAGATGGGTAGGTCTACTTTGCACATTTCGCATACCGGCACTTCTCTAGCCGGTGACCTTGGTGGATGGGTCGCCCTACTGCAGTTCTGGGCGTTGGAGCGATTCCCACATCTGGCACCTCGACATTCAGAGACGAGGGCACAGAATTCTGAGGATGCATCCCCACGTGGTCTTCGATGGCTTTCGGCCAACAGTCGTCAGTATGGTGACCAGCTATTTCAATACAAGCTGTGGTGGTTAGTATATAACATTCCATTTTATAGAATAGTTTTCATTTGTTTTATTTTTTTAGATTTAGGGATAATAACGTTAATTTTTTTTATGTAGTGGCAACCTTACCTTGAGAGAGCACTTCATCTCAGAGGTAGTGTGATACAGTCTGAGACATTTTGAGCACTAGTGCCACTTATCTGCTTTTCATCGGTGATGTGGCATCATGCAGGCCGCGTGCTCCGGCAGTTTGGCATGAGGCAGCATGAGCCTCATCAGCCACATCCTGATGCTGAGGTTTGTTTTTTCTTCGTCAGACTACTCGTGGGCCATCGTGTGGGCAGCAGTTGGTACACGCCTCCAGAGAGTCGCTTGCTTTCTGGAACCGTCGACACGAGTTCGTAGCGACGGCTCCATACACTAATGAGGAGTCAGCCTACCACTCGGAGCATATGGAGTGGTATAGAGATGTCACCAGACGTGCCGGCACACGGAGAGGAGCTGCACGGGAGGCATTGGTTAGTATTTTTTTGTATTTGTCTTGAATTTGTTAAATGTGTGAAATATCTGACTTTTATTTGTGTTTTTTAGTACGACACTATTGAGCATGCTGAGGTGAGTTTACGTGACGGTGCACGCGGTGGAGGGTTGACCCCTGACCAGTGTGAGGACTTGACAACTTTATGGCATCGGGGGTTGCTACTCTAGGTTTGGAGCGGCGCAGACACCCTGATCTCACAGTACCTGTGTAGCCCCAGTATGATCAGCCTGTCATGACTACCTGGCCAGAGCGTACTGATCCGACACCGGGTTGGGCCTTCCCGGAGTCACAGTTCAGACAGGAGCATAGGCGACGTAGACAGCGACGTGAGCATCGTGATGTACCTAACCCGGTCCGGATTTCAGATCGACTACGAGCACAGCCCGTCAGGCCTACTACGAGTAGGTTCCAGTTTAACCCGCCTCGACAGCAGTTTCAGACAGATCCTTCCTCGAGCTTTCAGCCTCCGCTTCGACAGCAGTTTCAGGCAGATCCTTCCTCGAGCTTTCAGCCTCCGCCTCGACAGCAGTTTCAGGCAGATCCGTCTTCGAGCTTCTATCAGCCAGAGGATAGCTTCCATACATTGCAACATACTACGATGGGAGGCGGAAACATGGCCTCAGGTGGTGATACTAGAGGGTGATCAAATTTTTCAGGAGACGATGTGGAATTATGAGCAGCATCTTCAGTCTCAGCAGCATGGTGGCGGTGCTCCTGAGGAGCAGATTCAGTCTCAGCAGGATGATATGTTCGGTACACAGGATCAGGATGGTGGTGTCGAGGAAAATCAGCCCCAGGAGTATGATGGTCGACCTATGCGTAACAGGGTGGCTGCGAGGTGTGGTACTGGCGGCCATCTAGTGGTGGAGCATGGTGGTCGTCGTGGTGGTCGTCGTCAGTGAGACTATTATGTAGATTCTTATTTTTGGATTGTTATTATTATGTACTTCCTTGAGACTATTATGTGTGGACTATTATGTTTGGACTATTTTTTATGTTATTATTTTATTAACGATAAAAACCATAACAACTACATACCAAACTACAACAACTTCTACAGGGTTCGAAGGAAATACAACAACTACATACCAAACTACAACAACTTCAAACAACAACTTCTACAGGGTTAGTCGAAGGAAATACAACAACTACATACCAAACTACAACAACTTCAAACAACAACTTCTACATGGTAAATCAAAACAAATACAACAACTACTACATTTGAACAAACTTCTCAGCCACGTCTATTACCTCTACTTCCTCTTCTACCACCTCTCGCACTTGGTTGGCCACCACTCCCTCTTCGGTTGCTCCCACTCCCACTAGCTTGGCCACCGCAGGTTGATGCGTTATGTCCCGCTTGGTTACAGTTGCTACACACTTGGTGTGATGTACCCTCCCTTGGCCAATCCATCTCGTTGTGAATCCTTGTAACTCGTGGCCTCCCCGGCTTCCTAATCATGTGAACATTAGGATGGAGAGTAGGACCATTATGCTTCTTCCAACCCTTTGGTTCACCAAGAGGTGCGAAACTTGTCCCATAACAAGCCAGCACTGTTTCCAGCTTGTAGACATTGTTTACAAACCTATACGCATTAGCCCCCATTCGGTTGCAAGCTGCTATGACATGAGAGCAAGGAATTTTATTTCCTTGAAATTTATCACAGGTGCAAAATCCCTCCCGGTTTTGGTCGTCAAAGTGCACTGTGAGTGTATTTGACCCCGTCATGTTGAAATTGTTGGGGGGAGTCTGAACTACATAGATGCCTTGACTCCGATCAAGAGCTGTCACAGAATGTCCAACTGCCTTTTGTGACCAGTACTTCATCATCTCTTCGCACTTGGTGGAGTACTGTGAAGGACCACTTCTAATTTCTGCTCCTGTCTCCAACCTGTACTTATCAAATTTCTCCACCAATCGCCCATAGGTATGTTGCACAAGAGAAGCTATAGGAAGTGCACGAATACCTTTGAAAACACCATTGATGCTTTCTGCCATGTTGGATGTTAGCATAGACCAACGACGCCCACCGTTGTAGTTATCATGTGCTAAACTCCAACGAATCTGATGTTGATCCACCCAGTTATCACATGAAATATTTCTATCACTGGCCACCTTCTTAAATTGCTCAACTTGACGATCGAACTTCTCCAACCGTTTTTCTCCGGCTAACAAAATAAACAACCACACGGGGTTAGATAAATTCATGATAAAATTACATGAAAATAAATAACAAAATTAAATGAAGAAGGCTTACCGACTCGAAATAGTTGCTTATACATAATTCTGCTTTTAGTCTTCCTTTGCAAATTGCTTGCATAGTGTCGCATGCACCACCTCCACTCCCAACCTCTTCCGATGTTATTCATGGCTTCATAGAGTCCTGCATGTCTATCTGAGATGATGCATACATCATTTCGATCAGTCAAACCCTGAACGTTCCTTATGAACCATGGCCAACTCTCAGTATTCTCGCTCTCCACTATGGCAAATGCAATTGGAAAAATCTTCTTTTGACCATCAAATGAGCTCGCCATGAGTAGCACTCCTTTATACTTCCCAGTAAGAAATGTTCCATCAACAACCATGATGCCTGGACAATTCTTGAATACATCTATACAAGGTCCATAAGCCCAGAATACTCGCTGAAATATCGAATGACCTGGTTGAGTCGAAGGAACTCTTACCCAATCAATCACCGATGTTGGCATTTTTCTCTTGACTACCTGCAAGAATGTTTGCAAAAAATCGTAGGATTCTTCCCAATTTCCATGTAACTTCTCCAATGCTCTTTGTTTCCCATACCAAGCCTTCTTGTAAGTAACTTGCATATCAAACTTATCTTTCAACTCGACTTGCACAGTTAGAACACTCAGATTTGGTTGGGCACGTACCAAATGTTTGATGGCCTCAGATATCATGTCGACATCAAGATGGAGATGATCCGTCGGTTGAGTCGTACTGCTACAAGAATGCACCAACTCAGCCTTTCTCACAATCCATTCGCCTCCAACATCTCGACATCCAAACCGCACCATCCAAGGACAATTGTAATCCTTGTGCCTCAAGCATCTGACCTTCCAGATTGAAGGTGACGAGTCCACCACGCCATATTGAAAGTTGCATTGTAGTGCGTGGTGTTTAATCGCCATCTGTGCAGCTTGTTTCGAGTGAAATATCTGCCCCTTGTAGAATTCTCCTTCAAAACTATCAACAATAGGCATTTGAATTACGCCATATGAATCAAAAAGTGAGTATTCTTCGTCCTCTTCATTACCCTGCAAGTAAAAATATGGAGGATAATTAGGCTGCTCTCCTTCCCCCTCTTCCTCCTCCTCCTCCTCCTCCTCCTCTGCCTCCTCCTCCTCCTTATCTTCCTCCTCTCCGTCATCACCGTCATCATAGTCATGATCGGATGGCACGCTCCATGTATCATCTTCTTCCTCTCCACCTTGATCCTCACTGAGCTCAACATGTATCTCAGCACCCAAACAATAAGGATTTTGTGCCATAAAATTCCAAAGCACATTCAACCTATCACTATCTTGTACTTCTTCGTCTCTACGCCGTATTCTCGGAATTAGATTCTCACAAAGATATTGATATGTGACCCTGGATGGAACCGTCATCTGAAAACTACTACCACCAACGAATTTGACGCCCAAATTATCCTCGACTTTCTCCGATTTCCACCGAACGACTAGTTCAAATCTTCTAAAATCACTACAAAAAAACAAACTCACTAATTAAAACTAAACACAATCATAATAGCATTTGAATAATATAATTACAAAAATAATGTGTCTCTTACCTATTAGCCATTTTTGCAGCAGCAACCAGAGCTCTCTCCTTTTTCTTGGACGATTTTTTTTGTGGTGTGAAACTGAAACGAAATTGGCTGGGTTTATATAGGGGGTGGCCAATAAGGCAGCGGTGCCACCTTAGTCTCGGGCGCCGCCGCCTGGGATAATTTCCCAACTAACTCGCCTTGGTCTCAGGCGGTGCCACCTGAGTCTTGGGCGCCGCCGCTGTCACTTTAAATAAAACGATCCAAAATGTCATCCACAGCGGCAGCGCCTGAGTCTCAGGTGGTCTCGCCTTTTTTTCTCCTCCAAAACACAATATCTGTGTAAATACTTTTTAATCCGCCATATTGGTGGTAAATTAAAAAAAAAACAATATTTGTGTCATTTATCCTTTAAATGCTAGCATTTAATCAAACATTGTTAAGTTTCCCTTAACACTTTCATTTGATGATGGTGAGCTATCATATATGACGTTGAGGTGGAAGGAAATAAGACGTAGCAGTAAAAAAATGTCACAACAGCCGATGAACCACTAATAACATTTTATCAAAATTTTATAAATATTAAAAATAAAATAAATGAAAAAGCGTCGTTTGCGTAATTACCTTAATTCCCTAATCCCTATACAAAAAAGAAAATAAACACTAATCTCAAAAAGTGCAAAATGGAAGTCTCGTCGGCGACCACCTTGCATCATCTTCCTCCCTGCATCGTCTGGTTCTGCTGCATCAGCAAATCATGGTGTGACTTCCTCCCCGATCCCTCC